TTAACAGATAACATCACGAAATGGTTAAGCCTACAAAGCAATTCTCTTTTAGTCTTCAACCAGGTGTCAGGAGTCTCTTTAATAACTTGTTAGGAAAACTATGTATGTATTAAGAGAGTGAAACGTGGAAGGAATATATAACTTTTAATAGAAAATTTACATATAACACATTGAAAATTTTATTTGACTCATGCCTGATACATTAATATGCTTATTTAATGCATAGTTTGATCCTGAAAAACTAAAATTTCGAATACAAAATCATGTGTGAATAATATATATACACATATATAGCAAAAAAAAATTCTTCATAATCTCAGATCTTCCCATAATATTTGATCATAAAAAAACCTAAAATTGTATAAGAAAAATACATATTTGGTTGAAGAATAGAAAATAAACAGAAGAAAATTTGAAACTGAAAGAAACAAAATAGAGCTTATTCTCCTCGTTGAACCCATATTATTACATCTTCCAGTAGATAAATATCAATAAGCAACAATCTGAATTAAAAGCTAAGACATGCAGCATAAAGCAATTGATCATATGATCAACAAGTTTGAATAAGAAGAGCTAATATTGAGGGACGGTGAGGCATCGATAGCCAAAGTAGAGAGCAGCAACAAGAAGAGGAACAAAGAACTCGTAAAATGAGGTTGACTTATAGTTTGCACCATCTTTGATGACGAAGGCACTCATCTCTTTGCTGTTGGATTCCATGTCAACAACATCATCGTTCATGTCTACCTCTTCAACCTTGGCACCTTCGAGAACACCAACCTGGTACTTTAGTACCATGTTTTGTGCTGCTTTGCTGTGTCCAATGGCATCAAATTGCTTCGTCGCCTCCTTCCCAGCAACTTCTAGAACCACCTCTTCCCCTCCCGGGTGTTCCTCCAAAAACTTTGTCACATCCAAAACCTAAAAAATCAAATCACACCAAACATCTGAGTGAATCTTTTTGGTATATTGTTGGTGATGATCGACAGTTAGAGTGTTCAACGTAATAAGGTAGTACTTACTCTTCCATTGATCACCACCCAACAGTCTTTGTTGGATCTGTGCTGAGCAACCTGTGAGAGAGTGAAAACCCTTGGTTCGGCCATTCTTGCTAATGATTGACGATTTTGGTTAAGTTCGTGTAAGAAATGAGTGTGACAGTATAAGACACGTACATATAATACCCAAATTTATAAATGAAACGGTGGTAGATAGGTTGCACTTTCCGTTTCTACCACCACGTGCTTTTCTTCCTCTAAGGTTATCAACTACCAGTTCATCATGTGCATGGGAATAACTGCCAAATCTATTTATGGCTTATATGATAACTGCTACTCTTTATGATTAATCTCAGACCATCGTCTAGAATATTTCCAAGATAAATAACGAGACTTCAATTTTATTTATTACTTGCCATACATTTTAATTGTTATTTATAAAGGATAGAGTTTATTTTAGATATATTAACGTATATAGTGTAAATTTGGTTAAATCGCTTGATAAATTATGAGTTGCTTAACGTTAAAAGAATGTTATACTTAATTATCAGGTAAATAATGGGAGAATCCTACGTTTTAATTATTTGATCACATTAAATAATAATAATAATAATTTACAGCTGATGAAAATAAAACATATTGATATCTAATCACAGTACATTGTCTTGTCATTAAATGTGGTTTTATAATTAATTGCGATGAACAGTAGGTGGGAGAAAACAAAAGTAACTGCACCTAAAATTAAAAATAAAATAAAATCATTAAACTAAATAAAGAAAAATCAAATCAAATCAATGTGCTAGTAAGGTAAACTTAATTTAGGCATAAATTGGAAAAACTTAAGCATAAGTTGATTATTTAAATGAGTTGTTTATTTAAACACTCTACATACACACACACAAACAAAAACACATAAATATTAGTAATACTGATTTAATTTTACGAGTTTTACAATAAGCAATACCATTTATTTTGTCAACGTGAAATCATTTGCTCCAATGATAGATCTTGTCACGCAAATCTGCTTGACTTTAAAAGACCGTTTGGGTGATTACTTTAAAAATCAGAACAAGTTTACCTATTAATAGAATTCGGGTGATACATGCTTCTCTTCCATCCATGAAAATGAATCCTCTCAAGTATAATAAAAAAGAACAAGTTTACCTATTAATATACTTTACATGATTAGTAGTATTCTAATAATGTGAACTTTTGCTGCAAAAGTATATACCACTGCAAAAAAGTCTTTTTAATAGTACAATA